GAGGCGAGGCGAGGCGAGGCGACTTCGAGTCAAGAGTCACCTCGAAGGGGAAATGCCACAAACACTGTGGCATTTCCAAGCACAGCCCAACACACCTGTCATCACTAGGCACTTGCTTGCTTGCCACACTGTGTGCCCTTTCGTCCAATCGCGCCTGCGTGCTGTGCTCCCACCCCACTCGTTTCCTCCTTGTGCTTCCCTCCACTTCTCTTTCAGCTCATCCCAGCAGTCCTCGTGTCCCTCTGTTTTACCTTCCTCAGTGCCCACCTTCCACCTCTCCCCTCCTCTCAGCTACCTTCCTCTCAGCTCAGCTATCCTCCTCTCAGCTAACTCCCCTCCTCTCCACTTCCCCCTCCTCCCCACCCCTCCCTCCCTATCCCTCCCTCACGGCCTGCCCCCTCCTCCTCTACTCGCCTTTCCCCCCAGCTTGTTCGACCCGCTCAGTAAAACGTTGGGCCCCAGGTGTGGCAAGGAGGGAGCGTGCGTGGTGAATCAAACTGCCTTCACGGCTTTCTGCAACGCCTGCCCTGACTTCTGTCTGACCTGCTCGCCCCCAGGCCTCTGCACTGGCTGCAAAGGTGCGGGAGAGCAGTGGGGGATGAGCATGGGCCGGGCCCGGGCCAGCCCGGGGTTGGGCTAGGTCAGCCGAGCCTCATAGGCAGGCCGGGCAGCAGCCGGTCCAACCTGGTCCGGCTTGCTGGGGAGTTTGCCTGCAGCCGGACCTGTGGTTATGTGTGTGGTGTGGATGTGTGGTGTGGTGTGGGTGTGTGGTGTGGTATGGGTGTGAGTGTTGGTGTGGTTGGGATTGTTTTGTCAAGTTTGCTTCCAGAAGAAGCAGCACCACGCATGCAGGCTGGTTGGTTCTGTGCATGCACTGCAGATACAGTTTTCATGGAATAATCTCTTTTCCCTCCCACATCGCTCACACACACAACCCCTCTCCCTGCACTCATGTCCACACTTACAAGTGGTGCCTAAACTTGAGCGTGCACAGCACACAACCCTATATTGGAGTGACTTTTGAGAATTCTCAAAAGTCACTCCAACATACTTACAAGTGGTGCCTAAACTTGAGCGTGCACAGCACACAACCCTATATTGGAGTGACTTTTGAGAATTCTCAAAAGTCACTCCAACATACTTACAAGTGGTGCCTAAACTTGAGCGTGCACAGCACACAACCCTATATTGGAGTGACTTTTGAGAATTCTCAAAAGTCACTCCAACATACTTACAAGTGGTGCCTAAACTTGAGCGTGCACAGCACACAACCCTATATTGGAGTGACTTTTGAGAATTCTCAAAAGTCACTCCAACATACTTACAAGTGGTGCCTAAACTTGAGCGTGCACAGCACACAACCCTATATTGGAGTGACTTTTGAGAATTCTCAAAAGTCACTCCAACATACTTACAAGTGGTGCCTAAACTTGAGCGTGCACAGCACACAACCCTATATTGGAGTGACTTTTGAGAATTCTCAAAAGTCACTCCAACATACTTACAAGTGGTGCCTAAACTTGAGCGTGCACAGCACACAACCCTATATTGGAGTGACTTTTGAGAATTCTCAAAAGTCACTCCAACATACTTACAAGTGGTGCCTAAACTTGAGCGTGCACAGCACACAACCCTATATTGGAGTGACTTTTGAGAATTCTCAAAAGTCACTCCAACATACTTACAAGTGGTGCCTAAACTTGAGCGTGCACAGCACACAACCCTATATTGGAGTGACTTTTGAGAATTCTCAAAAGTCACTCCAACATACTTACAAGTGGTGCCTAAACTTGAGCGTGCACAGCACACAACCCTATATTGGAGTGACTTTTGAGAATTCTCAAAAGTCACTCCAACATACTTACAAGTGGTGCCTAAACTTGAGCGTGCACAGCACACAACCCTTCTGTCCCCAGCTCCACCCATCACCCTCTCCGTCCTCCCTGCATCCCTTGCCTCTCTCTCCTCTCCCCTGTCAGTGTCTGAACCCCAGCCAGAGCTACCTGCAGGAGGTCTAGTTTTGAGGCGCCTCAAAACATGCACCATGCATCCATTGCCTCTCTCTCCTCTCCCCTGTCAGTGTCTGAACCCCAGCCAGAGCTACCCGCAGGAATCAACAGCAACGGCAGCAGCAGCAGCAGCGGCAGCGGCGGATTGTCGACGGGGGCAATTATTGGCATCGTGTGTGGGGTGGTGGTGCTGCTGCTCGCACTGCTGCTCGCCATCCTCTTCTTTCTCTACCGGAGGAGGAAGAAGGTCTCTCGCTTCGGTAAGCTCTCCCGTTTCAGTAAGGTCTGCTTGCGTCGGATAACGGGTGGAATGCGGGCAGGCAGGCAGGCGCGGGGTGCTTTGATAGAACTAGAGCCTTGCTCCTCTTTGTGCTGCGCTGAATGGCACAAGATCGCCCCAGGGGAATGCAGTCTTGGTGGGCACAAGAGCCACGTTGCTCTGGTCCTGCAAATTCTGCATAACCATCGCAACATGGTCATAACCATACATGCCTTTATGCTGCATTCCATCACTCGAGGTTGAGTGAGGAGGGTGGTCACACGTCTGTGTGGTGCCAACGCTCCAAGAACACACAAGAAGCTGATGCCCTTAGCTGTACTCTAAAATGCCTGATGCTGTTCTCTCAAAGGCAATCACGCATGGAACACTTGAGTGCGTGATGCAGGAGCGTTGGCGAAGGGCGTGTGTGTGGAGTATACAATGAAGGAGATGGCGCAGGCCACCAACAACTGGTCCGATCAAAACCTGCTGGGGTCGGGGGGCTATGGCGACGTGTACAAGGGCGTGTCACCCGACGATGGCACCACGCTGTGGGCTGTGAAGCGCGCCAAAGTGATCACCAACGACTTCCAGCGGGAGGTGCGTGCGGGTGTGGGTGTGTGCGTGGTGTGTCGCCATGGCTTGAACGCAGGATGATTGTTGTCGGTCAGGTTTGCAGAGGGAGGTGTGTAGGCCGTCATGTTTCGAAAGCGAAAGGGTGTGCCATCTGAACTCGTCCCTCTCACTGCCCCATTAGGTGAGCGAGATGGCAACGAAGCACCACCCCAACCTGGTGCGCCTGCTGGGCTACGCCACGTGTGGGGACCTGCGGGAGCGCATCGAGCAGATCCTCGTCTACGAGTTCATCCCCAATGGGGATCTAGACAAGTGGCCCGGCAAAGGTTCGACCCAGGGGGAAGGAAGGTGGGGCAGGAAATGTTTAAGATTCGAGTAAAGGGCGCTCCAACAGCCTTTTTCTACGAGTTTTTCTCCGAAGGGGACCTGTACAAGTGGCTCAGTGCAGGTAGGGAGGAGGAGGAGGAAGTGGGGAGGGGGGTAAGGTGGGCAGGAAGTGTTCTAGATTCGAGGGAAGGACACTCCAGCAGCCTCTTCCTGATTCCTTTCATCCATCGGCTTGTTCCACACATGATTTTTCTCTCTTCAGACTCTTATTTTCTCCACTCATCTCTGCTCTGTGCTCCCTTGCACCTTGCTCTCCTCCTCTCCTTCTCCCTTCAATCTGTGCGCGGCTGTGCAGACGCCCCCGCGCCCCTCACATTGAAGCAGCGTCTGGACGTGATAGTGGGAGCAGCGCGCGGGTTTGAGTATTTGCATGGCTTTGACATCGTGCATCGTGACATCAAGCCCGCCAACATCCTGCTCGATTCCAACATGCAGGTGAGCAGTCAAGAAGCAGCGGCACTGTCTGCTCTCCCTGCTCTCCTATATCTCTGACAACGTTTCCTGCCTTTTGGGCATCCACCCATCCATGCACGCACCCACCCACCCGTGCACGCCCTATCATCCCTCGCAACAGCCCAAGGTGGCTGATTTTGGTCTCGTGCGAGTGGAGGGGGGCACCACTGCGCGAGCCACGCGAGTGATGGGCACACCGGGCTACGTGGACCCGGCTTACTCTCGCACGCAGAAGTCCACTCCTGCCACTGATGTGTACAGGTGCGGATGTGCGCTGACACACACAACCACACTAGGTCCGGGCCTTGTCGCCACATGTGTTGCAAATGGCTCACCCACTTTATGAATGAGATGTATTTGCTTGCAATCTTGCATCTTGGCACCTCCTTGCCATGTATGTGCGTCTGTGTGTGCATATGTTTGTTTGTGCGCACGCGCGCGTGTGTGTGTGTGCGTGCGTGCGTGCGTTCGTGCGTGCGTGCGTGCGTGCGTGCGTGCGTGCGTGCGTGCGTGCGTGCGTGCGTGCGTGCGTGCGTGCGTGCGTGCGTGCGTGCGTGCGTGCGTGCGTATGGCAGTTTCGGTATCCTCATGCTGGCAATGCTCACGGGCAGGCATGCCACGTTCGAGGAGGACAGCTGCTTAAGGAACATCCTTGACTGGGTACGCACGCACACCTCTCTCCCCGCTCATGAAACATACGTTTCTCTCTCTCCCTTCCCCCCTTCTCCCTCTCCCCCCTTTCTCATCTTCCCTCAAGTTAGCCTCTGGGCTACACCCACTCTGTCCCACCTCCACCCCCCCACCCCACCTCCCTCCCTCCCTCTTCTCCGCCCACTCCCAGTAGCCGCTGCAATTGCGCCTTTTCTACCTCCCCTCACGTCCTTCCACCTCTTCCCAACCTGTTCCACCACTTCCCCCCCCAACACCCACAGGTTCGGGAGAAGCTGGGCCAGGGGTCACTGGAGGAAATCGCAGACCCCCGCATGGGCCCCGTCCCTCCAGACGCCCTGCAGCGCATGGCTGATCTGGCAGTGCGGTGCTGTGGCACCTTCACTGCGGAACGCCCTTCCATGGGCCGCATTGCCCAGGAGATGGAGGCGTTGCGGACTGAGGTGGGCGGTGGAGAGGAGCCGGTGCACAACAAGTCTTACATGAAGGTGGATGCCGAGCTGAGGGAGAAGATGTTGTATCAGAGTCAGATTAGCGAGGACAATTTGAACGATGCCCTTGCCTCGATTCCCTCGGAGAGAGTAGCACAAGGGACATGGGGAGTATCATATGAGGGAGACAGATGGCATGAGACATGGAAGAAATGAGCACGGATGAGGCCCGCTTGGGCGTTTGAGTGAAGGGAAGGGAGAGGAATATGAAGGCACTAATCATAGTACTGTATGCATGTAGGCTCTTCAACGTCCCACCAATTCGCCTTATGTTGGGTGTGCTGCTGGCATGGTAGGGATCAAAGACATAACCCCCCCATGCAAGGGTGGGTGAAAGAAAGTAAAAATACAATTCGAATTAATATAAGTTTTAATCGTTCTACATTGTGATATTAGCTACATAATCTCAATGTATGCTCCAATCCAACGTGTTAGGCCCGCTGGCCTAAATCCGCTAAGGAATAGCGGGGTCGACTAAGTCGGGGATAAACGCGGCGGAAAACTTTGGCGAAAGAACTATAGGCGAAATAGGCGAAGAAGTTACTGAGTAATTGAAGAGTTGAATGAGAATTGGTTGAGAATCGATTGATTTAGGCAAGTACAGGAGAGCTTTATATAGCGAACAAGAGAGGATGTTGGAAAGTGGTTTGTGGGACTAGGAATTGGAAAGCTAGAAGAGTAGAGTGCCACGTGGCACAAGGAAATCTGGGAAATCCCAAAGGGATTGGATAAAGATAAGGTTGGGATTAGGTTGGGGGACTGTTTAGGGTAAAATATCCTTGAACAGTTAAGTACCCTGTAACACTACCCCCCTCCCAAGGAGGCGACGTCCGCGGCGCCTGCAGACTGAAGGTACGCTTGGAGGCAAGCGTTGTCGGGAGACAGCGAGGACGAAGGAACCCAGTTGTCATCGGCTGCGTCGTAACCATGCCAACGAACCAAGAATTCGATGAAAGAGACACCCCCCTGGAGACGGCTACGGTGCCTGATGATGCGTTGGATCTGGTAGTCGGGCTCGTCTGTGTCAATAGCTACCGGCAATGGAGTGCGTTAACGGCCCGAGAAGGTGGGGTTGGGATCGGTGTAAGGACGAAGAAGCGACACGTGGAATGACGGGTGCATGCGGAAATGAGCGGGAAGGCGGAGGCGATATGCGATTGGACCAAGTGCGCGCTCAATGACGAATGGACCAATGAAATGTGGACGAAGCTTGCTATCCTGCGGCAGTCGGAGGTTGCGGCTATCCAAGAGAACACGGTCGCCGACTGCGAACGACACCTCGCGACGACTTCGGTTGGTGGTGCGTGCCATGCGTGCATTTGCGAGCTCAAGGTGCTTCCTCACGTGATCATGAATGAAGGTGAGATACTAGTGGAAGTTGTCCGCACGAGGGACTGTGGGTGTGAGATCGACATGAGTGGGGACATTGGGGTGCTGACCGTACAGTGCGAAGAACGGTGACATGCCTGTGGCGGAGTGGTGTGTGTTGTTGTAGGCGAACTCGGCCATGCTAAGCTTCTTGTCCCATGCGGCTGCGTCGTGCATCGTGATGCTGCGAAGAATCTGCTCCAAGGTCTGGTTCACACGCTCGGTCTGTCCGTTTGTCTATGGATGGTACGCAGACGACATGGCTAAACGAGTCCCAAACAGTGCAAAAAAAGCTGCTTCTAGAACTTCGAAATCAAACGAGGGTCGCGGTCTGAGATGATGGAATCTGGAACCTCGTGCAGTCGGACTACGTTATCTACGAACAGCGTCGCGGCTTCCTCAGCTGTAACCTTGCCATGCGTGGGGATGAAGTGCACTGCTCAAGAGAACTTATCCACTACCACGAAGATGGTGTCGTGACCCCTAACTGTGTGCGGTGAAGCCATGATAAAGTCCATGGTAACAACCTGCCAAGGGCGGTCGGGCGATGGAATCGGCTGCATGAGTCCTGCATTGCGCTGGCGAGATAAATTCGTACGCTGACATGTGTCGCACGAGCGAATGCAAGCCCTGGCCAGTAATACGTGCGACAAAGCGTCTTAGCCGTCTTATCTGCTCCGAAGTGACCTGCGCTAACTACATCGTGCACCTCGGAAAGAAGAAGTTGTCGAAGAGGGCGGTAGGCGGGAACCCAAATCCGTGGTCCCCTTTCGAATGTAGACACTACCCTGCACCTCTTCTCCTGCAGGCGGCTGCGGTCTGAAGTTGAGATCTACTGTGTAACCGTGCTCGAAAAAAACTGTGAGAAGTGGATGGCCGGCAGTGACCGTAAGAATAGCGAGCTGGCAACAAGGGCGAGTGAGCGGGTCTGCTGGGTTGCGTACGCCTGGCTTGCACTCCATCATGTACTGGAAACTCCCCTCCATGAACTCCATCCACCTAGCCTGGCGACGACTCAGTTGCGGCTGCGATTTGAAGAAACGAAGCGAGCAACGGTCCGTGTGTCTAACATTATCTGCCCCCTCTAGGTAGCACCTCCACATTTTATACGCATGGATGATCGCGGGCGCCTCTTTGTCGTGTATGGGATGGTTCAACTCCGCTCCCTTAAGCTTACGCGACTCGTACGCGATCGGGTGCGACCCGCGTCCCTGGTCCTGAAGAAGCACTGCTCCTATGGCCTGATCTGAAGCGTCGGTCACTACAACGTATGGGCGAGTGGGATCAGGGTACAACAGTGTCGGTGAAGACGTGAGCGACTACTTCATCTGCTCGAACGCCTGCTGCTATGCTGGACCCCAAAGAAACTCTACGCCCTTCCGAAGTAGGTCGGTGAGTGGACTAGCGATCGATGCGTAACCCTGAACGAAACGACGGTAGTAATTCGCGAAACCGAGGAAGCTCTGCAATTCCTTGAATGAGGTCGGTGCTACCCAATCCTGTACCGCTGCGATCTTCTTCGGGTCGGTCCTAATGCCAATGGCGGATACGGCGTGTCCTAGGAACTCGACCTCGGGGAGAAAGAATTCGCACTTCGACTGCTTAGCGTACAGCTGCTCCCCCCGTAAGACCTCGAAGACCTTCTGCAAGTGCTGCACGTGCTCCTCCTTCGTCTTGGAGAAGACTAGGATGTCGTCTAGGTAAACTACAACGAACGACCCTAGGAACTCGAAGAGGACTGTATTCATGAGCGTCTGAAACGTCGCTGGGGCGTTGGTCAAACCGAACGGTAGAACCCTAAACTCGTAAAACCCCTGCTTCGTACGAAATGCCGTCTTAAACTAGTTCTCTGGAATTACACGAATCTGGTGGTAACCCAAACGAAGATCGATATTTGAGAAGACCATTACGCCCTGCACTGCATCGAGAAGATCCGCTACTCTCGGCACAGGGAATCTATTTTTGACGGTGGCGGCGTTCAGTGCACGGTAATCTATGCACATCCGCAACCCTCCGTCTTTCTTAGGCACGAAAAGGATTGGTGCTGCCCAAGGCGACCTAGATGGCTGTATGAACCCCTGTACGAGAAAGTGCCTAACTTGCTGCGTCATCTCCTCTATCTCCGCTGGACTCAACCTCCACTGCAGCTTCGCTACTGGCCTACTCCCCGGCTCTAACTCTATTCGATGGTCGACTGCACGCCATGAGGTAACCCTGGGGGCAACTCGTCGGGGAAGACGTCTCTAAACTCCGCTAAGAGTGCACTCACTTTAGCAGGAAGAGTTGTCTTATCGCCAACTGCTGCGCTCCCTCCTTTCCCCTCCTCAGCTTCCACCTCCTCAAGGAAATCCGCGAAGATTCGTGCTGCATGCTTCACCAACTGTCGCACACGAACAGCATTAATGATAGCTGTGGATGATGTGGCCCCATCGCTCCACTGAGGCAGCTCCCGGAACTCCCCGTCTACCTTGACGCTACAGCTTCCCTGAGCCCAATCGAACTGAGTACTAACCGTCCGTAGCCAATCTCTCCCGAAGATGAAATCGTATCCGTCCAGCGTCACAGAGTCGAAATCACGCCTAACAGTGATCGGTCCTAGCACTACGCGCAACTTGCGGAAGATCGGTCCTAGGTGAAGAGACGTCCCATCTACCATGCAAGCGTCCTTGAAGTTCATTGCGGAATCTGCTTTAAGATGGAGACGACTAGCCAACGATGAAGAAACGAACGATTGGCTAGCTCCGCTATCTACGAGAATTTTGACTGGAACTCCATGAAGCTTCCCTAGAAGCATGACTGGACGATCAACAGCGTCTACCGAGTTCGGCGTAGATGACTGCTCCAGAGCTGTCTCCTCTACGTCGGTAGACTTGGCAGGTTTGGAAGCGTCCACACCAGCTAGCGACCCGCTATATACTGGCGGTCTCCGTTTCCCTGCTGCCGCTCCTTAAGCTGTGGACAGCCCTGCTTCATGTGTCCCGACTTTTTGCAGTGGTGACAGTTTCCCCTAAAACCCGTTTTCTGTGAGCCGTCACTGTTAATAGCACCAATTTCCATGGGCGATGGTCCGTCCCTCGATCGAGCGTCGTCGAACGGTCTGTTGTATCCCATACCGCAATCGTCACGACCCCATTGGCTTCGTACTGCGTCGACGCGTTCTGCTACTACGATAACTGACTCGAAGGTGGATAACCCATGAATCGCTATAACTTCAGCTATGTCCGGTTTCAACCCTTCGAGGTAGCGATCGCGCATCACTGCTTCCGTGATGTTGTCTATATCGTTGCAGATGCTCAAGAACCATCGTGTGTACACCTGGACGTTTCCTATCTGTCGAAAATGACGCAGACGCTTCCTAGCAGCTTCGGAGACATTCACCAAGTCGAATCTACTTTTTAGCGCCGCTTCAAATCCTTCCCATGTCGTCGGAACCGTGGTAACACCTAAAGCTAGACTCCCTAAGCTCAAAGTTGCAGCTGCATGGCCCACGCCGTATTGATGCCCGTCTGTCTGAGCTCTTCTTACAGCAGTTTGCGTGAGTTGGCGCCACCACTCCAAGGACGGGCCCCTCAGCAGCGTAACGGAGTACTCGATCCGTTGCTGCGCGTCCGCCTGCTGCACCCCGCTCACGGCGAAGTAGTTGTTCAACATAAAGATCCACGTCCGCACGTTCGCATGCAGAAGACGGTGCAGCATGACCATGAGAAATTGACGCGAATTCACGAAGCTGTAGCATTTCGGCACGTACCTGACGATTTTCCAGCGTCAACATTTCGAGTTGGCGCATG